TAAAGTTAACACAGAAAGCAGCATATTGATTAGTTGTTGTGCGAACTTCCGCCGCGCGGCAAGCATTACCGCGTCCTATGTGCAGGAGCCACTATAATATATGTTTTTAATAGCCATAAACATAGGGACCTATTCTGTAATTTTTAACGATCTCGTTATGTATCACTGGGCACATTTTTTGTACCATGTAATAGCTACGCAATAATATATAACAAAAACGTTTAAAATTATAGAATAGCCTCCATAAGTTACGTTCCGAAATTGACTGTCAGTACTGAAAATCCATAGTTCATATCACGTATACTATAGAATTGCAGTACTGCCAGTCAATTTCGGAACACAGTTATAGTAACAATAGACTAAACATAGGGCACGAAACGAGAGGATTAGGTAAAACGAGACGGAGGATAGGTGCCACATATGTTTCTCTTTCACTCTTTCTTGGTTAAAGATAGAAAGCTACACGGTATTTGCCTTCTGTCCTTTTCTATCTTATCTTCACTGTCAAGTAGAGAACACGCTCGGTCAATTTTTATTGTCTATGGATGGCAACAAGTAATCGCGTTAGGGTGTATATCAGTTGGACACGGGGCAATTGGACACAGTCCAATCACAAGTCGCTGTTCCAAGGGACCCTACAAATGTCTCTAATCATACGGTGCTGTGATTGGCTGTGTCCAAATGCACCGTGTCCAAGTGCACCGCTCCCATCGCGTTATGTTGTTAGATGTTTACGTTAAATCGAGTACGAGTTAGTTCCACTAGGGTCGAAAAATGTCTCCCTCTGGGTGCACCACCTTGACGTGGTGAGGGGGCTCCCCAGACCCTGACCTGCTGGGCAGTACCGAGAGTTCAACTCTCGGGAGGGCTGCGGGGGGTCCGGGATCTAAGAGTGCACCACCTTTGGGGGGACGTGGGTGCGGACCCGCGCTATGTCTGGGGAGGGCGCCCTTTCGGGGCGTGCCTCCTGGCATGGCGCGGTCGTTCCGTGTCCCACAATGGGGCTCCCCCCCCTTGCGGCCTGGGGGATGCTCCCTCATAGTGCGCCCCGGCGCAAGGGGGGCGATGGATGACTTCATGGGGTATTCCCGGAAGCCTGCCCCCTAAGATTTGCAGGGCGACGCCTGTAGGGTTACCCATGCAGAACGGCCTGTGGGGAGGGGGATTGTTAGGTGCGGCTGCCAGGGCCGCCCGGACGTATTCCGGGGCAGGGTCTGGTGGCCGTCGCACCCGGCGACTGTATCCTTTCCGAAGTCGACCACCGGGAGGAGTAGGTGCCCGCGGGGAGGTTATGGCCTGTAGAGGGCTATTCTCTCTGCGGGGAGTGCTGGTCGCCACGGCGGGTAAGGCGTTGGGTGAGGTGCAGCACCCTCCTCGCCCCAACCGTCCGTGGGGCCCCCCGGGTGGCGCCCACTCGCATGGTGCCCACGTTGTCGGAGGCGTGGGACCCCTGGAAGGCCATACGCTTAGGTCTGTCCGACATATGGGGGAGTAAGGGGCTTGGAGCCCTGTGTCACCGATGATACATTCCGGTGGCCTGATGGCTCTCCCCTGGGGGAACTCAGGGGCATGGCTGGGAGCTAAATCCTGGTCATGGGGGCATGCCCTGGAGTCAGAGCCGTGCGAGTGCGTGGGATTCCTATAAAATGGATTGCAACAAAAACCAGGATAGGAAAGGGAGGAAGGTGGTAAACAAGGGTATGTGCCTCAGGGGAGGCGTTCGCTCCGCCTCTGAGGTTCAGGCCGCTACCAGTGGAGGGGACAGATCGTCCCTGGATGAGTCGATCGTGGCTGGGATCTACGAGCGTAGGAAGGAAGACATGGGAGCCGGCACACAGTGCGGAGCCGATCCGGAGCTGACTAAAACCGGCTCGGCCATGACGTTGCAGGGGCCGCAGGAGCCCTGCCAAAATCCTAACGAAGAAGCGGAAAGGAATAGGGTCTTTGGCCTAGGCTCCTCCGCCAAAAGAAAGGTGCCGCGGTCGCCTCCCGCTAAGGCGTCTGTACAGCAACTGGTGGCGCGTTTTTCACCACCAGAGGTTACTCTGGTGCGGAGGGCTGTTACCCCCTCTGCGGGCACAGATGGAGAAGTAGAGATGCCTAGCGTGGCCTCCGGGAGCTCTAAGGGAAACACGAGGACCAGAGCAGTTCTCTGTCGCCAGGACGGGCAGCAATCCGACGACGAATTTTATTCGTCGGACTGTAGCAATAAGTCGGCAGCATCGACTGCTTCGGCACGCGCTGTAACAAAGAAAACTAAGAAGGCCTATGAAGCCCAGATGGAGAAAAGAAGGGGCCCTGGGCTACCGACTACCGCAGGTGAATACTGTAGTTTGGCGAAAGCCAAGAGGGAGGTTTTGGAGGCTCAACGAATTGAGTTAGACCAACGGCTGGCGGAGGAGGTGGTGAGCAGACTTGCCTTGGCGTCCTCGGCATTTAAGATCCGAGGGGAGGGCACACTCGGCAAGGTGCCGACTGCAGACTTGATGTCCTCAATTACGGACGCTCTACTGAGTGTAGAGAAAGTGTCCACGGTTTCCAAAGGATTAAAGGGTACAATGGTCAGGTCCCTAAGACAGGCGTGCGTGATAGTTCGCGCGTCTGTGGAGGAGCTTGGCCTAAGGACGTACAGAGAGGCTCAGCAACGAGATACCCTGGAAATTGAAGACTTGAGAGGAAGACTAAAGAAGGCCGAGGAGGAAGTGGTGGCCCTGAGAGAGAAGGTCAGGGTCCTCCGGGAGGCGGCGACCCAGCCGGGGGTGGTAGGGGACAATAGGCCCCCTTCCCCACCCCCAAGAGGGGAAACTCTGCGGCGTCCCTCTCATCTGCGTTGTCTGAATGCCGAGGGGCGGGATGGAACAATGCAGTGGGATCCGACCCCCTCCCCGGATCCTCAGCTGGGGATTCCTCCCCCCGTGTTACAAGTTGCTGGTGGGGACCGGATGGGTGGTGATGATGTTCTTCTGTAGCGATTCTCGGGGTTGCTGGAGGAGAAAATAGGATCCCTTAGGGGGGAGTTGCTCTCCCTAATACGGGGGAATGGACGGAATATGGGTGGCGAGGGGGAGGAGATTGGGCCACTGCTGCCCCCCCCACCCACCCTTGAAGCCCCAGTCTGACGGGCCCTCGGGCAAGGGGAAAAAGAAGAAAAAGGGGAGAACCGGTGTCTGACCCTGGGCAGACTGAGTTGAACCTAGGTCAACTGCAGCAGGCGGAGGAAACTGGAGGGACCCGGCAGATAGCTGACCGGGATAGTGAAACACCTCTAATAGAGGTGGTGAAGAAAAGAAAGACAAGGGGCGCGGGTGTTCCCCCTCCACCCTCGTTTTCTGCACGCAGGGAGGGTGACGCTAAAAGGAAGGGAGGAGGAGGAAAGGGGGCGGATAACGCACCGTCTCCGTCCAGAAAGAGAGTACCGGCTACGGCTGCTGTCTCCATTACCTGCCGAGCCAGGGGATATGAGAGTGCGATCAGGGAGGCCAGAGCTAAGGTGGATTTGGCCTCCCTGGGTATTGAGGGACTGCGGGTCAAAAGGACTCTGACAGGGGCTCTCAATTACGAGGTCTCGGGGGAGGATGGAGCGGCGAAAGCGGATGCTCTGGCTATACTCCTCAAGGAAGTGTTCACTGGCAGGGATGACATTCGAGTTTCCAGGCCGATGAAATCAGCTGAGGTTCGGGTTATGAGCCTTGACGACGCCTGTACTGTGGAGGAGGTCGCTACTGCCCTTAGCCAGGCTGGAGAATGCGCGGTGACCACTATCACGATGGGATTAATCCGCAAGGGGCCTGGTGGCCTGGGATCATTATGGGCCCGCTGTCCTGTGGCGGCGGCCAACAAAATTGTAGCCCTAGGTAAGATTAGAATAGGCTGGACCTGGAGCAGGGTGTGCCTATTGGAGGAGCGCCCTTTCCAATATTTCAAATACTTGGAGGGGGGCCATGTACGAGCCTCGTGGATAGGAGCGATAGGTGCTATCGATATGGAGAGCAGGGGCATATTGCCAAAACCTGCACAGCTGAGCCCCGATGCCCGGTTTGCACTGACATGGGGCACCCTAAGGGGTACAGAGTGGGTAGCGGAGCCTGCCCTGCCGCATGCAGGGGGACACGCGGGAAGAGACGTCCAGGCTCAATACCCCAGAATAGGGAAGTAAAGAGTGCTGCCCCACTGGAAGTAAACATGGAGGCGTCTGTGACCGACCATATACCAAAGGACGGACGGGGACCTTTTGAGAATGAAGACGACAAGGGGAGGGAGGAGACGGCTGGACCCAGTATTTCACCCCTCGTTAAAACGGCTGCCAAGAGAAGGAAGTCTGCTAAGGGGGGTTCACGGCAGGACGTGGAGGACGTCAGTATAAGCGGTAAAGATGGCTTACAAGATCTTGCAGGTTAACCTAAACCATGTCCGCCAAGCGCAGGAGCTCTTCCTGCATAGTATGATGGAGAGAGGGTGTGGTTTGGGGATTGTGGCTGAACCATGGTGATTCCCCCGGAGGACCCAGCGTGGTTCGGCTCCCGAGACAGGAGAGGCCTTGCTGCCATAGTGTGGAGACCTGGCCTGAGTTCCCCTCGTTGCTCCCTTGTGGAGGTCGGAGAACTCTACGTGATGGTGAAGTGGGGCATATCATGCTGGTGGGGATATATCTCCCCCCTAGAAGCAGTATGAGCCTGGCAGAGGCCGAGGATGTACTGGAACGGGTTGGCGGGGGTATACGACGGTGGGGATCTTCCCGACCCCTGTTAGTTGGCGGAGATTTCAACGCCTGGTCACTGGCGTGGGGTTCCAGAAAAGAAAACCCCAGGGGAGGGGCTCGTCTGCGAATGGGCAGCGGGCCTGGGGCTTTGCCTTCTCAATCAGGGGGCTAAAAGCACATGCGTGCGGTGGCAGGGGGAGTCCGTGGTGGATCTCACCTGGGCCTCCCCCTCTGCCGCAAGGCTGGTGGAGGGGTGGCGGATACTGAAACATCTAGCGATCATCTGTATATTGAAATTAAGATGTCCGTCACACCCCAAATCAAGAGACTGGGGCACTCCGCTAACAGAAGGAGGTGGGCGGTGTCCAAAATGGATACGGACATCTTCAAGGCGGCATTGGCTGTGGCTACATGGAGGATAGACGCGATAGACCGGAGGACTGTTGCGGGAAAGATGGAATGGCTCCGGGGCATAATGACGGATGCATGTAACGCGTCTATGCCCCGGGTCACCCCGCTGCAGAGAAGGACTGCGTATTGGTGGACATCTAAGATAGCCCAATTACGTGAGATTGCCACTGCGGCGAGGAGAAGACTCTCGCGAGCTCGACGGAGACATAATGGGGGTCTACCGGGCATCGAGTTAATTTACCATCAGTACAGGGGGGCCAGGAAGGCCTTAACCACTGAGATTGCTCGCCAGATGGAAAGGTCCCATCGGGAACTTTTAGAGGGGCTTAATAGGGACCCTTGGGGGCGCCCATATAAAATGGTAATGAATAAACTTCGTGCCTGGGCGCCCCCACTGACGGAGTCCATGGATCCTGAGACTGTTGAGTTGATTTTGGACGCTCTCTTTCCGAGAGGGACTGTTTTGCCCCCCCTTGGAATTGGGAGCGTGGGGGAGTTGGGAGCATCCCCTAGGGAGGATGTTCGAGTTACCAGGGAGGAGCTGAGGATGGCGCTGAGGCGTATGAGGACACAAAAAGCCCCTGGGCCCGACGGGCCCGGCGTGGAGGGTGGCATTCCCAGAAATGGAGGACATTCTAGGTAGTATTTTCACGGAGTGCCTCAGGGCGGGGTACTTCCCAGATGCGTGGAAGAGAGCCCAAGTAATCCTAATCCCCAAGCCGGATAAACCTGCGGACTCTCCATCGGCATACCGCCCGATCTGCTTGCTGGACGAGATAGGGAAGCTATTCGAAAGGGTTATCGTTAACCGCCTCGTCCGGCACCTGTCTCGGGAGGGGGGGACTGGGGATTTGAATGAGGGCCAGTATGGCTTCCGGGGGGG